TTCCTGCTGTAAAGGTCTGGACCTGTTCTGTTTGCAGAAATAATCTTCCCTTAAACTGCTGAGAACAAAGTGCTTGGTCTCCATAATCCAGATCAGCATTGTGTTTTGTTTTTCTTAGATAGCTTCACAGGTGTCGGTCTCCCATTACTGTCACATGCACAGGTGCTGTGACTGAGGATGCTGGTTGTTAACATCAAGACTTTCAGAAGTGCTTAATTGTAGCCAGCTTCTACACGATGCACTCAGCTCTGCTACTCCCACTGGCTTGAGGACTTTGGAGTGTCCTGTGCCAAACTGACTTAATTTCTTTGGTAACTTCCTGGGTGACTTGTCGTACTTCCAGTGATGCAGCCTCTTTCAACACTGTTCTGGTAGTGAAAGCACATCCCTAAATAACACAGTTTGAAGAAGAAATTTCACTGCTGGGAAGGTTGCGTTTACTGATACACGTTTGCAGGCGCATGCCTGCAGGCTGCTGAGAGCAGTCGGAGCTACGTTGCAGGTGCTCCCAAACTGCTGTACCCAATGCTGCTGTTCCCCAGTTACTGCTGTGGAGGGGTTGCTTCTGTTGGGGAATCCGAGTAAGCTCTACAGCAGTGAGAAGCATTATGGAAAAGTTACCACGCGTTTGATTTATGCTCACAGCACTATCAGGCTCAGCACAGCTCCTTTACCTGATGGGCATCCTCCATGGGAAAGGGGGTGGCCCCACTCAGCCCTGAAAATGAGAGGCTTTCTGGGGTGCATCCTCAGCAATCCGTATCATCTCCCCATTGCATGTGCTGAGAGTGGAGTGATAGATTGGTGGCTTTGGCAGATATTATTTTGGAAGCATTGCTGGACAGGACAATGCTCTGCTTCTGGAAATCAGGCAGATTAGGGGCACCTGAAGTAGGTAACAAAATACATTGAATATACTTGTATTTTATTAAGCTATAGCTCTTGTACCCTCCTTCATGGGCAATGATAGTTGCAGCTTTCCATCACAGAAAGCGTAGCTGTCTCCTGGTGGGTTTTGTGAAATCTTCCAGCCTGGGAGAGAGTTTACAAAACTGGCTGCATCTGCCTGACTGCTTTAGAGCAGTGTTTCTCGTACCTCCAGAGGAGAACATCTCTGCTTTGTGGGGCCCTCGCTGACTCTGAGCTGCGTGGGTACTGCAAGAGTGGGAATGGTGGGAGCATCGATAGAAACCTGGTATTGAAACAAGGAGTAAAGGGAGTAGCTGTTGTATCTCAGACACATCCAGGTCGCATGCTTTCCTGATTTCTTTGGTGGAATTCTTCCTCTCCCAGTTCTAGGACAGTCGCCAACCAGTATGGTTGGTGCTGTGGCAGTAGTGCAAACAGCTGCTGTGATCGGGGGCTCATATATAAGTGCAAACTGGGACAGGAGGGACTTGTAGCTTGTCCTCAGGTGTAGCTCCCTGGCTTTTCTCCACTGGTGGATGGAGTCTCCATCTCCAGCTGTGGGCTGTTTAGAGCAAG